GGCAGCTGTGTGGGGCTTAGTTGCCGGCTGGGGTTAAACCACGACAGCTGCTCAGGTTTTAATAGAAATTGCAACATTTTTCTGAACAGAATAAATTGTAAACAGTCCTGTTTTCATTAAAAAGCCTTCATAAGTACAATTCCCAAACAAACAAAAAGGCGTCTTCCCTGGGTTTGCTTTCTAAAATTGCAGGAAATTATTACAACTTACTGTGTTTTCTTCGCATAGCAAAGAAATTCTATTGCAGGTCTTGTTCTGTCTTGCTTACATGTGTACAGATACTGCATCATTTTGTTGGCTGTCCTCTTGTTCATACTCTTAAGCTTTTACCCTCTCTGAATAGTACTTTGTCAGTATTAAAAAAAACCTCAAAGAGTAGCAAAGAATCTCCTGTAGCTTAAGAATCCAGTCAGTAGCGAAAAAGTTATCATATTCTGTCTTTTCCATTTTTTTCTTTAAAATGAAAATCGTAACCACCAACAGAATCCAGAAGGTGATCCAAGCAACTCTTAGGTTCTGCTGGACTGCATACTTGGCATAGCCCTGTGGCTGTCTCCTGACCTACATTTCTCTGAGGGTTTTAAGCTCTGCAATATGAGGGTGCATACTCAAAGGCTGGAGCTTTAACATCGTGGATTGTTACTGAGTAAAGGCACAAGTTCAGGCCTAAGAGATAAAAGTTTAACTGGTCATATGATCAATTATCTGGACTGACACGTAAATATCTATTTCATCTGCTGAAGCCATGGAATATTATTGACCTGAATCATACAGGTGCTGGGATTGTATACTGCTGCAGCCTGTCCAGCTAGGTAGGGACAAACTATGAAATCTTATGCTTGTGCAAGTCCTCTAGATTTCAGTCAAAGCGCACAGATATAAGCATTAATATTTAAAGATCCAATTCAGTGCTGTAGAGTCTTTTGATCCCGTAGCTCTACTGATGGCAACGGAGTAGGGGAACATTCATTCAATACTGTATTGGGGCTCAAAGAGCAGAATTCTGTTGTTCGGGGTTATGAAAACAAGGGAAGAAATTGTCTACTGAGATTTTTGTGAAATGAAACCTTTGGCCTGAAGAAATGAAAGGAGAGGATGACTGGATCCAAAGATGACTGCAAGAGAAATATAGCTTTGCAGTGACAGATACAGCTACCACTGAGTACCACTTTCAAAGTGACATTGAGTTTTTAGGTTTTATCATTCTGCAAAACATTATTGTAAACTCTCTTAAGGCAATTGATGTAGTTTTTTTTCTTTAAAAAACATAACAGAATGAACAAACAAATAAACCCCTCCAAGAATGCCAGCCTTTATAGAATTATTAAATCCAGAGGTAAATACAGCAGCCATCGTGTTAAGAGCATTCTGATTCTTTTTAACAGCTGATGCTCAAAAACATGAGTTTTCAAAAGGGCAAACTTGTCACAGACATAAGAAAAGCCTCTTCTGCCCAACATCTCTCAGCTATTTCCTAGAATAGAAAGCAACAGAAATTCAATTTCTGAATAGGAATAGGTGATAAACGTGAAAGTTGTGAATGCTAGATAACTGGATATTGTGAATGCACTTTATAAGTGTTTCACTGATATTTTACATAAAGATTATATCACGAAGAAAAGGTCCCAATAAAGGGCAGTGTTTAAACAGTACAATCAAAGGGTCATGTGCCGAGCAAAATAGTGACAATGCTTTTGGTTTTAAGATAAATTTGTTGTTATGATTTGAGTTAAACTGTCATTGTGTTAATTATATGGGCAAATTGGAAACTGCATTTCTGGAATCTCTGTACATGTAGAAATTTTATGCAAGATGCTACAGGAAGTGCATACTTACTTTTTGTATCTCCTTAAGTGAAATAAAAACATAATGCACAATAAGTCTTTACCTTAAAGGACACCTTTTCCAATTCCTTCCCCTACTTCCCCCTGCCAAATCCAGCTTTAGGATAGTCCAAACACTGTCTTCTGCTGTTGGTGGTAAAGTCGTTGCTCACTGCTCTTTGGGAGGTAACAAAAAAGCAGCAAATACTTACTGCTGCATACTCATATCCAAAGCATGACACAGCCACATTAGAGATTTATGAAAAGCTCTCAAACTCTTATAAATCTGTGTAGGTGTCCTGGTTTTGGCAGGGATAGAGTTAATTTCCTTCCTAGTAGCTGGTACAGTGCTGGGTTTCGGATTTAGGATGAGAACAATATTGATAACACACCGATGTTTTAGTTGTTGCTAAGCA